TTTTAGTACTAGTATTAGTAACTAGTAAAGTGAGGTGTTCATTAGAGATGATATTTAAGGAAGTCAGCTGAGGATGGTTTAGGAATGTGAATGTCACCATTAAATAACACAAACACACTATGAACAGTATTATGTACACTGTAGATGTTCATTACAGGATTTATGAGATAAGTGCGAGGCGCTTCTTGATGAAATGAGCCACAAGGCACTGCGGTCGCTGCTGATATTCCAGGAGAACATCATGAGGTGTAGAAATCTGATCCCCCTCAAACCGGTTTAGCAGAGTCACACACACCACTGCAGCTGCAAAAAAAAATAAAGATTAATAAACCGATGCCACCACTAAGTGGTCAATGACATGATAATTAAGTATGACGTTTGAGGTAATTACATGCTGCTTGAAGGAGGTATGAGGCTTATAAAGCAGTACTGTATATATACACATGCTTAAAGAGTTAACTCACAGAAGATCAAAATTCTGTTATCATTTTTTTCTTCCATAAAGCAAAGCTGCTTCCTCTGGTACTGTTATAGTGGTGATGAGGAAAACAAACATTGTACATGTCTTAACTACCTTTAAGATTGCAGACACGACACATGGCAGCAAAGACAGTGGATTCCATCTCAATGTTCCTGACGCCTGCCTCGCTGGCTTTTCTCAGATATTCCCATTTTTCTTCAGTGGAAAATGAGCACAGTGCTCCATCCAGTCGCCCTTGACCTACAACAGGAAAAAGAAGTGATGATGGAAATAAATAACTTTTCATTGTGCAGTCTTCAAAAGGATGTCTGTTTTTGAATGCTTGTGATTAATAAGATGTAAGAGGCCCTAACAGTCAGAGTTAAAGCTATGCAAGTCTGACATGTCAGCTAAGTTTAATAGTTGGCCTTTTACAATAGGTGTTGAACAGATTGCATGGCAATACTAGTTATATAGTTTATACTATGTAGCACATGCAGCTATACTATATTATATATTTTAACACAACCGGAGCACCTCATTGACCAATCAACATCTAGGACCACATCTATCTGTTTTATAAACAAATTTTAACATTTATGCATTTGACACATTTTCCCCCAAATTGACTTACATTGCATTCAAGGTACACATTTGACCAGTTTATGCATTAACTGGGAATCAAACCCATGACACTCACATCACTAGTGACACGCTCTACTGTTTGAGCTGCAGGAATGCCTCTGTCATGTTTCGTATGACCAAACCCAGTATGAAAAAAACAAGACAAAACAAAAAAAAA